CATCTGGCACGTGACAGCAAACCCTACCAGGATGCCAAGGAACACAAAAGAATCGACTTCCTCCAGGGGCTTCGCGAAGCGTTGGGGGAGGACCGGCTCTTGGGGAAGGTCCGGGGACCTGATGTACTGACACTTGGCCTTAGCAAGTTGCAAGCCGATTACCTGCAGTGCATCCTGCAGCTGATTAATCATGCGGGTGGTTTGCGCAGAGCTCGTACCAAGAAGCAATATATCATCAGCGTAGATGATCATAAACATCGGACGTCCCGAGCTATCCCTCACCCACGTGGGTTCACAATCTGCCCATGTCTCTGCTAGGGGCGCCAAAAAATGATCTAGCACACGAGCAAAGATCTCCGCCGAGAAGGCAGATCCCTGAAGGATTCCTCGCCGCAATCTCTGGCCCCAGCTCTGTCCAGCAAACGACAGGACGACTTCAGATCTACAGATCAGTTCTACAAGCAACTTGCTCTCTTGTCTTGCTCCCAACGACCCCAGGAATTTTGCCACAGCTATATGGTCCACACTATCGAAGGCTGCCTGTATGTCAAGCTTAACAGCCAGTAAGGGAAGCCCCCATTGCCTCGAGAGGTGCACCAAATGTTTCAGGGCCACAGACCCGTCCAACGACTGTGCTCCTCGTTGGGCCGACAGCTGGCCTGTCGGCATAGGGGGGAAGGTCCTCCTCAGTCGGACGAGGAGTGCCTTCGTTACTAGCTTGCTCAACGTCGCCGCCAGTACGATGGGACGAAAATCCTTGCGGGCCGCAGGTTCTTTGATCTTGGGTAGCAGGACAATTTGCGACGTGATCCACTCCTGGGGGAAATCTAGATTCCCGGGGAGGAGATCGTTCACAAAGTCAATCAGATGGTCCGCGGCGTCCGATTGCAGGACCGCACACCAGAACTCATACGGAGCCCCATCCTTGCCACAGCTTTTGCGGCTCTTGGTGTGTAGCAGAACTGCTTCCAGCTCATCCTTTGCGACTAAATCCGGTGCGGGCATTACTTTGCCAACCATCGCATAGTACACGCCCATTGCATCGTGGGTCTGGGGCTCTTGGGACTCGTACTTCTGTTTGTAGAAGGCCTTCAATCCCCCAACAGCCGGTCCAGTCCCTCCGCAGCGCTGGCAGTACTCCAATTGCGACGAGTTGACCCCCTGCTTACGCTTGAAGTAGCTGATGACTTGGTAGTCCCCTGCTGCAGCCCTGTCCAGAAGCTTCGTTCGCCATTCCTTCTTACATTCCGCTCTTCTGACCATCACTTCTCTACCAAGCTGGCGCTTAAGCAGAGGGCCCCCCTCCTCTCTCTAATGAGATCGGTCACCTCAGGGGGGTCCTTAAAGCGCAGGCCTCTGGGCCTGTGGCAAGCCCGAGACGCCACCTCCACAAAGTCCCTCTCGCGCAGGTCCCTCTGATGAATGTCCGCCTTCTCTGCCAATTGGTTGAGTGCGGGGATCGCCTTAGTATAGTCTACAATCCATTTCCCACACTTGGTTCGTCGTTGTCTGCGTCTCTTGAGTCCTGTCCCAAGAGACACGCACAAAGTGCAAAGCCTATGATCCGACCCTATCAGCGTGTCCGAATCGGCCACCACTTGTTCATCTAGTGTGTCCTGGTGTGGGGTGCGATAAAGGATGTAGTCTATACGCGAGGACGCCCCGCGTGTGTTGCTCCATGTATGCATGCAAGGCTTGGTAAAGCTAAGTCCCACGTCCCGGATGAAGAGGTTGAGGAGAGCGCTTCGCTCGTCCGCCATTTCCGAGGTAAGGTCGACTAATTCATAGTTTAAATCGCTCAGAATGAAGATGTTGTCATGATACCTAGTGCCTTCAAGGATATCGCGCATGCTCTGGATCTGGGCTTGCCACACATGCTGAGAATCGTCTCGATTCGAGTAAGGCAAGTGCAGGCTGACAGCATACGTAGTGACTCCGGCTGTGCGTAATTTGACGCACAAGCCACAAGGCATCACAGTAACGTGTGCTACATCTGGGGTGAATTGGGAAGGGAATCCAAGCGCCACCCTGTGTGATCTCCCCTGTTTTCCGAGAGGTAAATGTCAGCCGGGTGCACATCATCGGGGAGGTTCGATGCTTCAGCAATCATCTGGTGACGCCCGACATACACTCTTCCTCTCCAGTCAATTTCAGGCAGCTCACGAGGTCTGGCGTCAACAAAGGGGACGCACTTATAGAACTCCTTAACCTGGACCAGGGCTCTAATCTTGTGTCTGTCCTCTACCGATCTGTTCCTTGTCATCCACAACGGTCTCTCCTTAGATCCTGGAACTCCCAGGGGAATCTAGTACTTTTCAGCTTCTCCAGTGTTTGTGTCTGGAAAGCCCTCTGCGCTGCGTGGGTGTCTGCCCCTGGCGGGAAGTTGAGAATCACCCGCACGAAGTTAGCCCTCACGTACGGTGCAACTACCTCACGAACGCGCTCCTCCATTTTGAGGCGTGCAAAGACTTGTCTCACTTCGTGTTCCGCATCAGATTTCTTTGCTTCGACCCACCCTCCCATGACAAGTTGAAGGTCCTCGTCGGGGTCCCTTTCCTGCCTTGGGCTTCGAGGGGAACGGAGGGACCTATCTCTGTCTCTGTCTCCCCCTGATCTGCCCCGGCTCGGGGATCTCTCTCTGGCACGATCCGAGTCAGTCAGGACTTTGACCTGTCTCTCCAGCTCAGCAACTCTCAGCAGCGTGCCCGTGTGCAACTCCGTATGCTCTTTACAGGTTGCCTCGAGTTGACGTCCTGTTGTCCAAGCTCGGCCCTAAGTCCGATCATCTCCGCATGCAGTCTGTCCTGGCCATCCCTGGACCCATCTGCTTTCTGGTGGAGGTCCTGTAGACTAGTTTGGATCTGCATGAGGGCGTCCATCCAGTTAGGTTCGGGTCTCGGTCCACGTGTCATACGTAGGGGAGCATAGGTTTGTGGGGTCGTCAAGGAGGGTTCGGGATCAGGGACATTCTCCATCGTCGCATCAGAAAGCTCGTCCGGCGCGGGATCAGAGATCTTAGGTTTCTTACTATCCGGTCTCTCGGTCTCCGAGGACGAAAGTGCTGCATCCCTGGCTGACCTGAGAGCCCCTGCGATCTGCCCATCATTTGGCACAAAGGGAAAGTCCTTGCCTCGTCCTAAGTCATGTTTCCCATGCGAGCTTTCAAGCGCCTGGGTGTGACGAGCAATGAAAAGTCCTGGTCCTGCAGGCTGTCCTGATCGGATTTTGGAGGGCTTATGATTGACAGGAGCACCAAGAGGGACAGTAACACGTACGGGGGGTGCGGGCGTAGGGGGCGATTCCCGAAGCTCAACATCATCGTCCTGTGACAGGTCAACACGGGGACGCGAGTGGGGACGGGGACTTTTGGCTCAGGAGGAGGGCTCGCAGGGCTATGCTTGTCCCCTAGTTCTGGTGTCCCTGGTCCGGGCACAGCCGGCTCTGGGTCAATGACATCGCTCCCTAGTGCATCGCCTGCTCCCAGATGTACTATAGGAGGCTCCTGAGTAACTCTGGCTTTGAGGTGTTTGAGATCATTGGGAACGATTCCGTCGGGGTGTGCAAGTTCCGGAGGCCCCCACATGCCAAAGCAGATCTGGACATTTTTTGGCCTCAGTGGAGCGTCGGTCCTTAGCGAGGCATCCTGTTCGGGAGGTCTGGGGGATCCCGGGACAGTGCTTTGGTCGTCGTCGCACCCCAGTTCCTCCTCGCCGTCTGCATCTAAGTCCATCACCGTACCTTCCACTCTTCCAACAGAAGCCTCCCCCCCTGTTCTGCGAACAACTTCGCTTACCTTCGTTGCAGGCCCACGGTACCCGATTGCCCCAGGCATCAAGAGCGTCTCTGCCTCGTCCGACATGATAGACCCCGCAGGATGTTGAACTAAGACAGTTCAAGTGCAGGCAATGCAAGATCCGGCAGGAAGCCTAGCAGGACAGAATACAGGGGCAATATATACAAGCAAAATATATACAAGCAGTGCTCAATTAGCAGCCTAGCAGTACGCAATAAGCAGTGCTCAATCAGCAGACGGTGGCCACGCAGAAAATAATATGTAAAGGGCAAGGAAGGGGACAGGCAGTGCAGTAAGTGCAGTATGGGCAGCTCTGACACAACTTCCTCGTCAGACGGGCAGGCTGAGCAAGGACGACCAGGGGTACCAGGGAGTGTGTGTCACCAGGGGCTACCCAAATACTCAACCTCGGGGGCAGACGTATTCGGGAAGGGAAGCGAGACGGCAGAGCCCTAGGGAAATCACGAGACCAGGAGTTTGAGCCGAAACTTGAGCCAAAATGGCTTGAGCCGTAGCCATTTACTAGTGGCAGTAGTATAGTAGTAGTAGTAGTAGTAGTAGTAGTAGTAGTAGAAGTAGAAGTAGTAGTAGTCGTCGTCGTCGGCGTCGTCGTCGTAGTCGTAGTCGTAGTCGCAGTCGCAGTCGCAGTCGCAGTCGCAGTCGCAGTCGCAGTCGCAGTCGCAGTCGCAGTCGCAGTCGTAGTCGTAGTCGTAATCGTAGTCGTAGTCGTAGTCGTAGTCGTAGTCGTAGTCGTAGTCGTAGTCGTCGTAGTAGTAGTAGTAGTAGTAGTAGTAGTAGCAGCAGTAGTAGTTTTTGCCTCCTGCGTGGTTGAGCGGGTCACGAAGCAGGGTTCTCAATAGGTTGCAGCAAATTCTACCTCGACCATTTGGTAGGAAGTATTTTTGGCCCAGTTCAGGCCATCGCAGTGGCAGTAGCAGTAGTAGTCGTCGTCATCATCGTCGTCTTAGGAGGGGTAGGGGTAGGGGTAGGGGTAGGGCTCGGGGTATCGGGGTAGGGGTAGGGGTAGGGGGAGGGGGAGGAGGAGGTGCAGCAGATGTACTTGTTGTTGTCATTCAGCAAGAAATCGAAACACAATTGATCAATAGAAGCAAAAAGACGACCAAGGCAGGACGAGGACAACGAGAGGAAGAAGCTCTTGTCGAGTCAGTAAATACTAAAGGCAGACACTTCGCCCAAATACCGCGGCCTTGAGTCTTCTCACAGGTCTGCACATAGTCCTTCCAAGTCTCCGCTTCTTCCAGCCAGCTCTGCACGTCCGAAGCACGAGGAGCAGGGTTTGTTCTCAGAGGGTTCTTTCGCAGTCGAAAAACGGCATAGTTGCCATTCATGAACATCAGCTTGAAAAACCTAGATCGTGCATGCAGCTTCATACACATCAGGTCTTCTGTTTTGTGCTTCTTCGAGTTGCAGTTCTTCCTCTTGTCATCTAAGTTGTATGGTGTGAAGAAACAACGCGAATACTCGAAGATAACAAGCTTGGCGCTCAACTGCTCCATGGTCTTCGCAAAGGACTCCTCGGAGCCGCAGTTGTACAGCTCGTACGCCCGCTGCACACGTTTGCGGAGATTCTCGGACTCAAACTGTGGGTGGATAATCATGGGTACATGCGTGAATGCCCTCATGCTCCCTGCCAAGTTCATGGAGGCCAGCACAGGTGTACCCGCCGGAACGACGTTGTTGATCCAGTCATACAGGTCTACCAAATCGCCATCATTGGAAAACTTGTCTGCCATGTGCTGACATATGCCTTCCTCCGCCGTGATGCAAGGGAGCATGCTTCCCATCCAACACATGTGTGCAAGCCACGCCAGTGACAGAAGCGTCGCCAAGCCTTTCGGGAATGCGTTTTGGAGAAAAACAGGCACCAGCCGTGGCCCCATGACCGCGGCTGCCAGCACCATCATAGGCGGTCCAAAGGCTACGCGCAGGCGGTTCACCAAACTGCCAAGCAGCATAAATAGTAGGAACTGCACCACGAAGAACAACAAAGCGGCATCTTCAGCCTCCACTTGTACAGGAGAGGCCGATTCGAGCGGCATCTCAGACTTTGACCCAGCTCGACCACGCCCGGTTTTGGGCTCCTGCTTCGAACAAGCATAATCACAATAATCGATCGAAATGATCATCACGACCATCATTACCGACACCACCACCATCATCATCCTGAAGATTATCATGAAGATTTTCATGGTAACACCGTGACAACACCTACATGCACCTGCAATAGCAATGAGAATAACAATAAACAATAGTGACAATGATTCTGACTGGCAATGAATATTGTTTGCTGTGTCCTCTTTCTTTTTCTTGGTGCCGACGGCAACGTCCTTCTGCGTATCACTCAACCGAGCCGTCTCGGGTGTGTCCTCAATCTTGGCCTTACCTGCCATACCCAGCCAGTGGGACGCAGACCGAATCATGATAAGTACCATGGCCCCTGCAGCTGCTGGTGCTGCTGTGGTTTTGATGTAGACTTCGGCAGACGACCACTCCAAGATTTTGAAGACGCCCATGATGAGATACAAGTTTGCATTGAAGCTTGGCTCAGCACAAGCTGGCAGTTGGCTAGCTGAGAGCTGCAAGCGCTTTGGCAGCATATCATTGATTGTTGACACCTTCGTGCACAAAATCTCGTAGACATGTGTGTCTGCGGTTGCGAAGGGCGCTAGGGCCTTCCGCACCAGCACGAACACGACGACTGCGATGAGGCCCTCTGCAACGTGCGCTAGGCGTCGAGCTATCCACGACAGCCAACCGCGATGGGCACGGGTGCGGCAACAGCAGATGGAGGTAGATGCTTTCAGGGCCACGAGCTGGAAGAAGAAAGGAGAGGTTAGCAAGTACGGGCTTCCAAAGTGTGCACACACTGCCAATGCCAACGACAAGCTATACACGTTGAGGATCTCAACCAGGGTGGGCCGAACGCTCTCAAAGCCAAGCACAATGCAGACGAAATACAGGGCCGTGGCCTGCAAGAGCAGGAGGAACGGGCTAAACTGCCAGGAGATGATGAAAGCAAAGGTTGTTAGCACCAGGCCAACGCGCAACAGTCGGCTCATTGCCGCCCTGTAGGATGCCAAGAGTGCGCGCCAGACCAGGTACGACTGCACCCAGAGGAGTGGAATGCCCCAAAGCTCTCGCAAATCTGAGCTGGTGTAGTTACCCAAGCGGCTAGTTTGGAATCGGTTCAGGAAGGAGGCCAAATAACAGCCCACTGAAGCTAAGGGATTTCCAGAGATTTCCGCGGCAAGCAGGCCTAGGGTAGCCTGGCCCACTCCATTCAACAGGATGATGTGCATCCGAAAGAAGTGGAAGGGATGAGGCAGCTCCAACCCCAAGCTACGCGCAAAGCGGAACTCGAGTGCTAGTAGGATCTCCTGGTAGATATTGAATCTGCGGATCGCGTTCAAAGTGTCTGGGTACTCCGTCCGCCTATCCCAGACAATTCGACTTAACCCATCCGCAAAAGACTCCGTGTCCACAAGTTCCTGGAAATACGAATAGTAAAAAGCATTCTCTGTTTGCAATGCTGCAACAGCTGCAGTGTCTGCCGGCAGCCGGTTCAAGACATCTAGATACACCGTGTTCTCATACACGTACATGACGCCTGTCATCAACGAGAGTACCACTCCAGCAGCACGATTGAACCTCGTGATCCGTTCCTCCATGGCTCTGCACACAGCTCGGAAAGTCCAGGTGAGGATTCTTTGATGGGGACGAGCATTAACAACTACTCTCCTTGCGCAAGTAACTTATGACCTAAGGTTTCGATTGCTAGTAGTATTCCCATAATACAGCCCAAAATATACACTGTGCAATATTCCTACTGATCCCTGAATCCTATATGCAAACACCAAAATCTGTATTGATGTCGTCTGGGCTGTCGCGGCTCTGGCGACGAGTCAGGCGATCCGGTTTGAACACCCTTGTAGTGCGTTTTGTGGCAATCCGCCGCATCATGTAGCTGCTGTCATATCTGTCATGATCCCAGATGGCTACACAGGCCGCAGAACTGGACCATGGCTCGGCTTTCTTTCAAAAAACCCAAACCGTAGCCATGACAAACGGGGGCATGACACTTGCGCACAGTACGCAGCTCGCATGCATCACTGTGCAGCCAACTTCTTGCAGAGAGAGCACTTGGCGCTGGCCGGGCCATGCCCCCGAACATAGCCGCGGCGGCAGTCTGAAAGGGATCCATGCTAGACTCGTGACGCCAACATCGGCCAAGAGGCAAGGAGCTAGTCTGACCTAGATAACTACTAATATCGCAAAAAATGGAAAACATTACATAGGAATCAGAAAATACGCCTTTTGCCGGTGGCACTGTTCAACTTGCATCTGCAGATGTGTGTTAAGGAGTTAGTTTCGACGGTTTGATGAACAGGTGGCATACAGGGACGGTGTGTAATCAAGGCATGATATGCATACAGGTGGGAAGCACCGAGCTACAGTCGCACACTGTTGTAACATACATCGTTGCAGTACATGATACTCTTTTCACTTGTGTCGTCACGGATGCATCGGAGTTCAATGCCGGCTGGTTGGGCAGGAGACTGGTTAGGGCAGGGCCGGAAGCGGAAAGGCTGAGAGTTTTGGAGAGGGGGACCTTCTGGCGGTGCATTTCCATATGCTCCCATATCTTTTCCATATGTTACCATATTGCTGTCATGTGTTCCATATTTTCTCTTCCTCTCAAATATGGTGAAAATATGTAAACAATATGGAAAACCATATGGAGAACAATATGGAAACATATGGGAAAATATGAGAAAATGTGACAACGCTAGGAAAAACAAGCAAAACAGTAATTTCCATGAAAAACGCACAAAGCGTCCGGAAAGAGGGTGGATCCTCGCCCTTGTGTGGTCGTTCCAAAGGCCTCAGCGAGTAGCAGAGTAGCACAAAGGCCTTAGGCCCGCGGGTGTCGCCCTGCAATTTTCGGGTGGAGGGCTTCGGATCTCGCCCAAGTCCGTTGCGGCATCGCGGTGGTCTAGGAACCGTTCTCTTGCAGCAGCCTCAGGCGATCTGTTACATTGTCTTCGAGTGCCTTGCAAAGTGCAAACGGGGTTGAGATGGTGCAGTTGCTGGTCTGCCGAAGTGTTCAATAAGCCGTTGTTGCACCGAGGCGAGCCTGAAGCCAAAGCGTATTGATGAGTGCAATCCTCAAATCAAAGCACAATTCAAGCACATTCTTTACATATTTCCCAACACCTTCCGTTTCATATTGTTTCTGTATGGTTTCCATAAAAAAATAAACCAAGAATGTCGGACCGTAGCTGACAGCGTCTCAATGCTAGCCACATTTGCTCCAGGCAATGTTTTGTGCACACTGAAGCCCGCCTTCGACGTTTCTTGCTCCAAGCTGAGGGTGAGCTGCCTCAATCAAGGGTGAGAGTGAGAGTGAGCTTCGATCAAGGGACTTGTTGGCCACCTCATCAACATGAATTCCCCAAGAAGCCTTGCCAAATGCTCGATCCGGTGGTGGAAGTCCTGCCTGCGCACAAAGTCCAGGTTTGGAATGGACGCCGGCTTCAGCTGCGACCCTTCATGGGGTGTCAGCTGCTTAAGTTACTCCGCTGGAGACTCTTCTGCCACCTGACGAGCAATGAGGCTGATAAGTTGCCGTGGTGTGACAGCCATGAGTAGCACCCAAGCGCGATCATGAGTGGAGAAAGGGGCCCCGACAGGTGCTCGGGTCTCGCGAGTAAGTACAAAGATTTGCGAGCTCGTACTTGCATTTCTCAGAAATTCCAAAGGGCAGCACGTTTGGCCCAAGATGACCCAGCCGTTGTAAGTGTGATGCCGTGCCTGATGAGCAGCTCCATGCCGCATGCCTTGCGCAGCGCGCGCCTCGGATGCCCAGAACTGCGCGATGATTGGAGGCTAGATGGAGCTTCTGACAACTCGGATATGCTCTGTTGCATGTAGTCGGGCACTGAGCACAAATCCTCGAGCACGAAGTTAGCCGTGCTCGATCCAACTACCACGTAAAAGCGTCATCATTCAGCGGAGGCTCTTTGCATCCGGCTCCTGTTGCCAGGCGCCGCAGATCATGGCACGCAGTGACCAACCTGTTACGAGTAACTCGCGCGTGGTCACTTGCTACTGCGTATACTGCCTCCAAGAGCCAGTTGCAGCAGATCACCGAGCAGCGCCCGTGCAGCGGACACAAAGTCTTCCTCACGAGGCCATATGCTGAGATCTGAAGCGGAATCGGACGCGAAAGATGTCCTCGTCTGCCATCAGGTTCATGATGATGACGGAGATGACATGCGGCACGAGGTTTCTGAAGGCATCCGACGCATCACCCTGGACATGCGAACATGCCCGTGCGACCGCACTGCTGGGAATGGAATGAGGGACATTCAGCCTTGACATGTGCAACCCGGCTTACGGTCACAGCGACTGCGAAGATTCCTGGCCTGTGGTAAGCCCTGGGCGAGAGCCAGAACTCCTCGTGAGTGTGGGTTCGATGCCAGAGCACAGACTGTCCGGATTCGCAATCGACCACTTTCTACCCCCACAGGGTCCTTCCCAAGCCTCCATGACTCCGAGCTTCAAGTCCCGATCGCCGCTGCTCGCGTGTCCTCCGAGGCCGCGCAAGAAGCGGATGGGTCAAGTCGAGTGAAGAAAGGTAGCGAATTTGGGCCCCAAACACGTGAGGCTGCTGCTGCTCCTTTTTGCCACTAAAGACGCTAAACCCCAACAGATGCCGAGCAGCTCCCAGCTGTAATTATCAGGCCACACGTGATACCGTAGCGGCCTCCACAAGTGTTGGAAAGAAGCATTCAATGGTGCGTCTCAAGATTCGGACAGCATCTTGTTCGCAGAGCTGCGGTGTTGACGGCAAGGCCTTCACCCAGCAGATCCTTCAGGTCCTGCGTTTGCAAGATGAGCTCACGGGATTTTATGGCTGCAGATCACTTCCACATGCACTCCAGCCTTGCGTCCAGCACTTGGCACAGTTTGCCCATTGAGAACTGAACAGGTATTTCACTACAGGAAGCCCCTGTTCCGCGAAGTGGCCGGCCTCTGAGGCCACAGAAAGGGCGAAGCGGTGCACGTCTCCAAGGAGGCTCAGCAGCCGCCGCGCACAAGGCGGATTCTGACAGAGCTGCACACTGGCTGTCATATATACATGGTCACTCGCACGCCCTCACCGAAGCGAACATCATCTGCTTAGTTTCGACTCAAAAGCCATAGGTTTCTCAGCTCAACTACATCTTTCTTCCACGCCTACGACTTGTAAATTGGACTGCGGCGGTGCAAAATGGAAACCAGAGCACTGGAAACCGACCCAAGCACCTGGATGGCGCTGGAAGTGGAGAGCCAGCTCTGAGATCCTCAGACGAATTCGGCCGTGATCTTTGGAGCTGGGTGGCTTTGTTCTGGGGCCCCTGCCCAGCATCAAGCCTCAGCCAGGCCCGGTTCGTGCACACGCTGCCGAAAAGCTGTTAAGCTAGGCTTATTCAAGGGAGTAGCGTGTTGCATTCCTACATGGTATGCAACACACATCCGTCCATCCATCCATCCATCCATCCATCCATCCATCCATCCATACATACATACACACATACATACATGCAGATTTGCGGTGAAGCCCGCATTTTCAAATCCAAATGCTGAAGCGACAAACGGGTGTCAGTTTTGACAGGCGTAAGACGCGGCCAAGCGTCTCTTCAACCATCGCGTGAGGTCTTGAGCAGGGCAGAGTTTGGTATCCAGGACCGCTCCACACGCCTCGTCTGACAAATACGTTGGGCAAGGAATTTGTGCAACTTCAATATGAGGCTCCACGGCTGAGACTATCATGGAGATCTCAAGCTATGACGGAACCAAGCCTGTGCCACGGTGGCTGCAAGCTCAATATTCTCCTGCCAGCCGCTGCGAAAGGTCGACCCTCTGAAAGTCCTAGCCATCCTGGACTAAAGGCAGAAAACGAGGGCGACAAAACGTTACGGATGCATTGCTAGAGGTGTCCGTGCGCCGTTGCTGATGAATGTCAGAGACTGCTCTTCGCAGGTGTTCTCAACGTATACGACTTCTCGTCGTTGCGACAGGGCAGACAACCACTGCAGAGAAGTTGCAACTGCATCGTGGCTCCTAGCTGTCGCCTCCACACTTGGCAAACGAAGTCCTCCTGGCATAACGCGTCTTGAAGCTTGTCTCGGGCCTCACACCACACCTCGGGCCAAAGCGAGCAGGAGAGTGCAATCCTTAACCCTGTCGATTCGCACGGTTACTGACATTGACACCTGAAATTTGGATGAGTTGAGGCTACGACTGCCTCATCTAAACTCTGCACAATCGTGGCTAGGCTGCCAAAAGTCCTGCAGGATACGAGCGGAACAGCAGTGTTTCACACCCTGTCGACTCCTTTCATGGCTCGGGTCCTCAGGCACACGATATTGACACTGTACTCTGCCTCGTCCGACGCATTGATGACCAAAACACCCAGCCTAGGCCACGAATTCGTACGAATCACTCTTTTTCTTATGCACTGCCACATAGAGAAGTAAACTTGTTCCTTCGCAGCAAGCACGCCACAGCTCAAAACTCATACGACCTTATGCTTGCCAAGGTGCAAGCACCTGGAAATTTGCGAGCTCTGCCTGTAATCTCTTCCGCAGAGTTACACTCGACAAGGCTGCATGTTCAGGAAACCACGGGGCGTCTGCAAATGCAAATCTGAAACGATCTTCATAAATGAGCTCGAAAGTTGCGGTGCGGCAGCGGCTGTTTCCAGGTCGAGTTGCTCCCTGTCAAGTTGCCACCGTATGCCGGCCAAGCCCATCACAGCTGCTTCCAGCACGAGAGCCTAGTTTTGGGAAAAGCAGGCGAGCAACGGCAATGTTTACACAACTTCAGGAAGGAAGATGCCAGATTGTTGCAGTAGCTGACAAGATGTCGGATGCTGCCAGTCAAGACACCGTGAGGCGCAGCAGGGAGCCCTCCTGCCGCTGCGGGAGCAGGGCGGCGGCCTGCGACCTGAGGCTACCGACACCACGAAAGGATCCTCTCGAACTTCGTGTTGACCTTCTTTCCAAACCAAAGACCAACGGGGCGGCAGCTCTTGAAGGTGACAAGGGCGAGGCGGTTCTCAGAAAGAGTATGGAGCTCTGCACACTTTGAAGTGTGGGATGCAACCTACCGCGAGCCCCGCGATGCCTTGGCAGGATAACTAGGAATTTGCCTTGGTGGAAGTGGTCAGAGGTTCCCCCTTTCCTCTGCTCCCGGCCCACGCTTGTCATCTTGAGCACCCTGAACCCGCTAATTTGGCCCTCATGCGGAGACATGCGGAGACTACACATCGCCTGCGACGCGGGCGAGGCGGACAACGCGAAGCGTTTACAATTCTATCCTGCTAGAGCCCGGAGCCCTGAAATGATTATACCAAGATCTACCCCAAAACTCTTCCTAGTCCTGCAGGCTCCTACAGTACAGGCCACGCGGTTGCTACCGAGAGGCGCGAGGCTGGCAACTTGCTGTGCAAACTGCTCCCGTGTTGGGAACACGGAAGAGATTTGATCGGACCAATGCTGCGCAAGAGTCTCTACAGCCTTAGCTCTTCACCCGAGCTCGGGGCCGAGAGAGACAGGGAGGAGGAAGAGACTTGTACAAGCAAGGCAGCCCTTCACTGAGGTTTTCGTACTTGGAACACCTGTGAGAACTTCAGCACGCAACCACACGAAGCCGAGGAACCTGTTGCAACACCTCAAGGAGGGTGCCATAACCAGCGTTGTCGGCTGGCTCTTGGGACAGGAGTTCTAGCAGTGTCTTGGACAGCTCCTGCCGGAAGGCGACGTTTCAAGGCGGATCATATCGGGTCCTGGCCCCACCTGGCCTGGAAGGCCTGCTGGATGCTCACTTCCGTGACCGCCCCTCTCGGCTCCGACGGCTCCCGGGTCATGGCAGTGATAAAGAGCGAGAGGAGCTGCAACAGCGAGCCTGTGTCTTCGCCTGGAGATAACCGAATCTCACTCTAAAACACTGTCAGCGCATGTCGAGCCCCTGGCATTGGCCGGCAGCTCTGAGCCGTGTCAACAAGAAATCGAAGGTTTCGCGTCGAACCACGCCGGCCTGCAGCAATTCCACTACGGCCCACTACAGTTACTGTAACTGTTCGACAGTTTCCCGTTTGCACGTCCACCGTTGCAGAGCTACTTCCCTCCCCGAGCATGAGCCTCGAGCTCCTCAAACATCTCACCTCTGGTCTCACAGCTGCAGAACGACTCTTTCAGGACAGAGAGCCTTCACTCAGTCACCCCATCTGCCCAAGAGGCAAGCTCCCTCGGTACGACCAAAGCTGAGGCCTTTGCCTTCACATCTGCGCCGCCCTTCCGGAAAAAGGCGGGCAATTGCATCTCGAAGGAGAACGGAAACCTCCCAGCAGCTGCACCCGCAGTTCAGATGAGATGTAATTCTGAGGCGCCGTACCTCAGGACATTTGGTAGACACAGGCTTCTTGCAAAGAGGACATTCTCGTCGTCCGGACCGGAGTGCCGAGGAGTGCAGATAGGACTCATAGCAAGCCTCTCATAACTCCATGGACACATCACGCGCCAAAGACGAATCACCCTCTCCTGCCTTGTCAAAAGAATGGCCACAGGGAGTGGTCACTGGATCCACCAAAGGTGATGAGATGCAGATAGCACAGGTGAACTCCTGCACACATAGATCATAGATTCCACGTGAACAACAGCCGGGCAGGGAGCCCCATCATTTTTCAACCGATGTTGCAAGAATCGGCCGTCCCCTGATGCCTCGGCACTCATCGTCGATGCCTTCGAAGGCTGGATCCTCAGGTGCATCGCATGAGCGTGGCAAACAGCAGCGATCAAGAGGACGTTTTTCTGGCTTGAGACAGACGAATCGCGGACTTTCTGAGCAACCGAAGCGAGTAGGAACATGCCATGCAAAGAACAACTGCAGGCGTTCTAGTCAAGCTGACGACATGGTTTTGCAATGCTCCGGAAGTCACTTTCTAGTTCGTGGGTTATGTGCTGTTGCTGTGCCGTGTTTCTGGGGTTCCTGTGATGCTCAGAACGTGGCGACATCCACCCAAGCCTGCCGGTGAACCGGGCACCATCAAGAAACGCGCCCCGCAGAGTATGTTAGGTGGTTGTACGGTCTGAGGAAGGCTGGAGTATGTGCTGGTCTGGTGCCTAGCATGCCTAGGCTTCTGCTTTTCATGTGCTGATTGTGGTGGGATTGCTAGGTGGCTGAGGATATGATCTCGTGCTTCTTACCAGCCCGAAAACCGCGGTTGGCGGTTGTCCTATCATGCCCTGGGCAGAATGCGGAGGCAACCTCCGAAGAAAGCACACCGCATGGCATTGCAACAATCATCTTTTCATCTTGCACGTGCTCGCGAAAGCTCGCCTACGTCTGATGCACGCAGTTCAAGAGACTTGTCTTGCACTGTAGAGTATGTCAGAGACACCTTTGCGTCCATTGAAAAATTAAAAGGCACTTGGGGCCTCGACCGGAAATGAAGCTTGAAAGCCGCGGAAGCAACTAATGATAACAGAAATACGGGTCAGCATCTTTTCACCAACATGCAAAATGGAAGACATTGCGCTAAATTACTGATGGTGATGATGGTGATTTTGATGATTGTGATAATGACCGTGTCGTCTTCGTCGATGTCGTTGCAGCCACCACCATGCCTAGCACCATAGAGGCAAGCTACAGAGGCAAAACACTTACTGTGGCATTAATAACATGATACGGACGAAGAACAACCAGTCGAAAGTTGTGCGTCGACCGTCGAGGCCCGCTCTATGCCCGAGACTGTTCCAGAAACAAAAGTGGATCGATGACTGCTGGATGTATCGAATCAAGAATCCACTTCTGAGGTGGGTACTGATCACCTCAACGCCAACTTTGGCTCAATGCGGAAGGCATTTCGAAGCTCAGCACACTAGAGTTTACACAGGCTTTTTTCTGAAAGGGTGCTGCACAGTGCTGGCTTAGAGGTCCCTCCCGATCGAAGTGAGCGGCTACCCAATTAAAATGTAGTTGAGCCGGCGGCCTTGCTCTGGCGTGCAGCTTCCTATGGATCTGAATCTGAACCAACAGCAACCACTGTGCTTCGGATGTGGGGATGCCGCTGCATGAAGCAAGCACATCAAGCACCCGCTTCGTTACTTGCGCGACCTCTCGCGCCGGACCCGCTCTGCTCGCCACGATGCGAAATCTTCAGAAAGCTCCTCGGCCCAATGCCAGCTCTGGGAAGCGCGTACACTCCCTTCCCTAAAAACCCCCTGACTGAAGTACAAAGCAAAGGTACAACCTCCAGCTTGCGGGAGGCATAGGCGCAGGTCTGGCGGCAGGCCTCTTTCGCTGCTGCGCGGAGCACCTGATAAGGAGAGACTCTGCTTGCGATCATTGAACAATCGGGACGTTTGGCTACAGTAGCGCGCGATCGGAGCGACGACTGGTCCGGACTGCTATATCTGCCACAAGTGTCGGCAGAGCTGCTTGGTTCAAGTGCTACGATGCCCCCGCCCCCAGCGGCCTCCTCGGGAAGTGTAATGCCGGCTACACTCGGAACCTCACCTTGCACTTCGATGGACACCCAGCCCACCGCCTCTGACCTGGGCCCAATACAAAAGACTTTACGACATTCTTGTCGCTTATGGCAGGAAGGCACCAGCAAGCACAACTTGATCGCCCAAACATCGGATAAGCCCGGATAAGCATTGTGAGGCTAAGGTGGTGGCCTGCGCTCCGAAATCGCATCGCCCTCGATGCTCAATGCACCCGTCACGTTCAACGAGAACATGGGCAGAGCTATCTCCTTGATGCGGCCACACACTGCCGCGAAATTCTGCACAGGAGAAATCTTTCGGCTCGACCCTCGACGCTTGATATGGTTGTCTAGCACGTGCAGAAGCAAGAATCGTATTAGACCCTCACTGAAAGCCTGTGAACACTACAGCTGGCCCCGGCTACATCGCCTTCTGCTCCCGGGATGACATGCATCAATAGCCCTCAACAATCGGATGCTGAGCTAGTCGCTGCCCCGGTGGCAAACTGGATGCTGGCCCGGGGATTGCCGAAGGTCCCGATATCTAAAAACCTGCGGCAAGGTTGACTGACCGGACCCGAATGACGGATCAAAACCGATGCATTTGATGTGCTCTGTTGGGCCAAGTAACTTGTCGGCATCAGGCCCGTCCATGTTCCGAATGGCGCCGAATAGATTGATAGAAGAGGTTGCTTTACCGAGCCTTTAGAGAAGCTGACGCAGGAGCACTGGAAGGCATGCAGAACGAAAGGAGCTGGTACACAATGGCACCCTCACGTACAAAGCCCCTTGTCATTGACCGTATTTCTCAAGCTAGCATTCTCCAACTGCGACTCAGCAAGGAGCACTTGCGATTTTGCCGTGGCTATTCAGCCGGGAAGCCCCATCAAATCCAAGGTTGGCAAAGAAAACTCATAGACCTGCATGCCCGTTGCGCTGGACTCCAAATCCTGCACAGATTCGAAGCACCGAGCCGCAGCCGGCAAACGCATGGCAAACGCTAACTCCATCGCTTTTAAGGTGTCGACCACGCGATTTCAGCATGGGCAACTCTCTGGCCTTCGCGCGCTGAATCTTGGAAAAGGCCGGCTTACCGGCTTGCACCAACCGGTCAACACTGTTGTCCTGGCCACAAAACTCCCCAAAAAAAACAGACTACAATCGGCGGCAGCGACAAGCTAAGGCATCTAAGGCAAGGCGACCGACGGCTTCATATGGTTCAATAGAACAGTCGAGCATCGCTTGGACCATCTCCGTACAGCCACTGTTTGGCAAGGTCAGGCGCACCTTATTGACGTCTTTGTCGACACAAATGAATGCCACCAAGTCCCAAAACCAACAAGCCCTCCATAAGATTGCTAAAACCTTGCATGCTGAGCATGCTGAGCCACCACCCAAGCTGACTCGGAAGGGTGTCTTGGCCCCGAATTTCGCCCGAGCGCCTCCATCGACATAGGTGAAATGCAACACGCCACGGCTGCACTACACAACGGCCCACACACGGTCGCCTTGTATGTCAATCCATTCGTCGGTGAGTGTGTCCGTGCGCTGTGACGCTTTCGTCGGTGCAGCTTGATGCATGCGTATATGTGAACCTTAGTCATGCGTGCCGGGATGGTCAAACGAAAATGATGAGAAAGCTACAGCAGCGCTTGCACATTGAGGCTGCCAGGGTTGTAATGTAAGAGCTGTGTCGGAAAACATTGCGCCAACAAGCGACCGAGGAAATGCCCGTTTCAAACCTCCTCTAATGCCAAGGCTCTACTGCGACTGGGTCCGCCCAGCGATGGCCAGCTGCCCACACTGCAACCAGCAACACCAACAGCAGCAAGCTCACATATTCTGAAATCAGTGATGAAGATCAAGGTGCTCACTCTCACCAAGTTATGCCAAGTTACAACGAAACGAGCCGCCAGCTGCAGGAAGCCAACAAAATCCGCATCGGCCAAAATCTCTTCATTCCGGGGCGCGACGGCAAGCCAGCCATGATGAGGCACGAAATCGATAAACAAAAATAACCGGTTGTACACTTGAGGATGCATCCGATTCCTGCATGAGCTTACGATGTCAAATACTTCTTTTCATCGGGTCCGATGTATGCAAGCATCTGGCAGAAGAAGTCGTGGCAGCGGACCCAGACCAACTAACCTCCAGCACAAATTACCATCTTTTCAATGATCGAAATCTCACCAAAAAAACACATAAGGAGACACAGGACCTGGTCTTGGAAGCCGAGTTCGCTTGCGGCATGCGAAGTGGACATTGTTACGTATACTGAGTCTACTGTTGGCACGAGTATGACCGCTAGATTCGGTGCAGCCAAACGCACCAAAAACGTTGAATTGCGGCACTTCTACATGCAGAACTTGATTCTCTGCGGCACTCAGTCCGTATGCATTATATATGCTGTCTGTGTTTCTAACAAACCGCCTCGCCAAACAACTTGAAAAAAACGCCCCTAGCACACATCTTCACGGTGTGAGCGTTGCCCTTCGGACAGTTCTGGTTGCGGGCAGTTGCGTGCGGGCAACAATCGGAAGTTTTTTTTTTTTGTTCACGCCTCTTGTGCTCCTGCACGACGGTCGCAGTGTTGAATTCGCGCCGGCGCTGTAGTAAGACTAATGTGCTCCGCAAGCCTGAGAAAACAACAAAATTGGACTCGGGAACTAAATTTCGATGCAGCCCAACAGATAAGGGATGGCATTGGCATCATTGCAAATTGTAAAGCGTTTGCTTCAGCGCAGGTATGTGCAGGTTGTGGTCGACACCACGTTGGTGTCCCGTCGACATCTACTTGGCACCCCGCCACCGATTTAGGGCCGCAGCGGCAAACGGCTGGGCCCTTCGTTGGTGGCGAGGTCGAGCACACGGAAGCCTAGGCAGTGCAGCACGACTTGCGCTGCAGCGGGGACGTAGCCCTGTGCATTCATGCAGAGAGTGATTGTGCTAGATAGGGGTAGAGGTGCTTCGGCCGATGCAACGTCGGCTGCGGCCGCTCCGTGAGCAGGGTCGCGGTCGACTAGGCTAGCTCGGCGTGAGGGAAGTTGAGAATGGTGGATGGCTGTGGGGTGCCACTCTCCGCAATGCACTCGCCAAGTGTGCGAAGCGCCTGCCGATGCGGGGATGGGATTGCCAAGCCTGCGTGGCGGCCGGTGTCATTGCACCAGCACCGGCGTGTAGAAGTGGTACCAAAAGCCAGGAGCACGTCTCGCCTAGTGCTTCGTGGGGTGGGCGATATGTTTCGTCGCTTGGTTTCGACAGCACTCGCCAGGGAGTGGGCCGACAAGTTCGGCCTTGCCACGAGGCCATTCCAGGTCGCGCCGCAGGAACTCATGCCCTCGCGGCCCACGTGCATGCCGCCGTTGCGACATGCAGAGAAGCTGTGCTGGTGTCGCTGGGTGGCCGCAGCGCATATGAGAGCACGTCGCGGCGGCCTTCCTAAGAGGTGGCGCCGAAATTGTTCCCGTTCGTGCGCTTGCTTTATGGGAGCCCTTCCACGCACTGCTGGCGGGACTCCCAAAGCGAGGGCTGTGAGCAAGGGAATGCCGTTGCGCGGCGAGCTGCGCCGCGGAGGCGGCGCATGCGCGGCGCACCTTACACGACCAAGGCTGGAGCCATGCCCCGCATGGCGCAAGCTCTCGACGCCGCTCGAACCCTTGCCAGGGGCGCCGGGTGCCAGATACTGGCCGCATGGTTGCACCACGCATCGCGGAATCCCGTGCACTCTCGCGATCGTGTGCCCCTGCCCTCCCACCCAGTTCGCGTGCACTCCTCCGCACCCGCGCAGAACCGCAGGCCGGAGCATGGCTCACCGCCATACCGCGCCAAGGCACGTTCCAAAGGCAGCGAACGGGTCGGGAGCACGCCCGATGTGGCGCAGCCCGCGCGGTGGTCCCCGAGGGCATCAAGGCTGCGGCGGCAGCTGCAGGTGCGCGGACTGACAGGCACAGGAAGACGCAAGCGACGGAGCAGGAGAACACGGAACAGGTGGCCGGAGATGGTGAAGTCATCGGCCGTAAGCAGGACCGTGAGCGCACGGGCAGCATGAGGGCCGGCCTGGGAGAGCAACAAGGCGCGAGACGCAGGCGGTTTCAAGCGCCCGGTCCTCGCAAGCTCGGGCAGCACGGCGTTGCCAGCCACGCAAGTAATCCGTTGGTCCCTGGCCTCTGGCAGACGGGACCGGGGAAGCTTGGAAGGCTTCGTGCCAAGCCGGGGTATGGAAACCCTGTGCTGCAAGGTGGGCGGCGGCCTGTGCAGCGGCGGCAACAGAGGGGACCCTTCCTGCATCAGGCTCCTGGAGCAACGCCAGCAAACGTGCCGCGGCCTCGGGCGCCCGGTCGCGGATGACAGGGAAGGTGTCATACCAGGAGGCCCAGTAAGCTGCATGCCTGTCTGCTAGTGCTTGACGCAGGCCGAGGCCACCATACTGCAAGGGCAGATGGGAGGCACGCACGGCAGCGGAGGCAGCGGGGCATCCGCAAAGCCCAAGAAAGTGGCAAGGCAGCGACCAAAAGCAGCATCGTGTTCCTCGGCGAAGTGGGAAGTCGCGGCCGGCGGCAGAACACGCAAAAGGTAATTGGCTCGCGGGCACGCACAATAACGGAGGATGAGCCAAGCGGCCTGCAGGTCGGCAATCGCAGGGATGCGGCTGAGGAGGCAATCGTGTTCGGCGCGCTTGAGTACAAGTTGCCTCTGGACGAATGCATCGGAGCCGAGCGGGGTGCCGAGCACGACGAGGCCTTGCTGGTCCTTCCTGCGGCAAAAGCTGCTGGCGGAGGCGTGCCGGTCGACGTGTGCAAATTTGTGCAACGCACTCGCCATGGCTCGCGTCACGGCTTTGCGCAAGCCGGACGGGGGCGTGCGTGGAATATCGTGGAATCGCCACGCGCGACATGTTCCGCCGATTTTTTTGGGGGGGGCCGACTTGTTTCGAAAGGCTAGGGAGTGGGCCGACAAGTTCGACCAGGCAACGCGGCCATTCCAATTCGCGTTACAAGCCACAGCGGGAACGGACGCCCTTGCCATCCACGTGCGTGCCGCCCTCGTGACACGCCGAGGAGCCGTGTTGGTGTCGCTTGACGGGACGGCCGGCAGCGCCTAGGACAGCATGTCGCGGGTGGCCTTCCTCGGCAAACTCCGCGAGGTGGCGCCGCAATTGTTCCCTTTCGTTCGCCTCGCCTCTTCTACGGGAGCCCCTCCACCTACTGCTGGTGGGACTCCGCTGGCCGCTGCCAGGACGTCCATCAGGGCGGATTGTGCGAGCAAGCGACGCTCTCCGACAGGCGGCAACGGCACCACACCCCGACGACAGCCTCGTCGCCTTCTTGGACGACCTATACGTGGTCACGCAGCCGTCGCGAGCGAGAGCCGCCTTGGACGTGACCGAGGACCGGTGCGGCATCGCGTCCAATCTGGGCAAGACTCGGCAGACTCGGGTGACCGCTGCTGAAGCTGGCCCGGCTCCGCCTGGCCGATGCCCAATGCGGCGTCGTCGTCCTCGGCTCGCCAGTCGGGCAATCAGCCTTCGCGCAAGCACGGGAGGACAGGTTGCGCGCAGAACAAGAGCACCTCGACCAACGGCCCAAGCTCCCAGACAAGTAGTGCGCGTGAGCGTGGCTGCTCCTGTTAATGTGCGCATCCCCCCGCCCATTCGCACCATGCCCCTGGCGTCAGCGACGTACGCGCGGGGACATGATGATGCCATATGGGCGACACTGCAGGCTTTATTTTTTCTCGCACCTTTTTGCGACTGTAGAGATGAATGCCTAGAAACGACCGTGGGTCACGGTCAGAACGGTGAAACAAGCTGTACGAAATTACAATGTCTGGTGTCACACATCGTGCAACGATGTACGAAACTCAAACGCATCAACATGTGTCACATCTCACACGCTTCTGCGGCTTGGCAAACTGTAGCCACAAACTGCACATTGTGCACAATCTGTCTTGCTGTGTTGACTCCGGCACGAGTGTTGAAAAGACTTCGCAGACACAGGACTGGGTTCATGCCAACTTGAGATCGCCATCTTCGTCTGGATACGACGTGCGCACCACACTCGAGCAATGCATGGCTCAAAGTGTCTGGGCCACATGGGCAAAACCGGCATGGTACGGATCCCATGTTGGAATGACGCGCTGCGCGACCATCGCTGAAACAATGATGCCCACAGCGAGCTAATCCCCAAAACCGCGAGGAGTAAGGAACGGCGGGTCCCCGTGCAACCTGCGTGCTGCGTGCGGAGCGCTGCCTAGCGCGCCTCCGAGAGAAGCTCATGTAGCTCCAACCCCGGTCCGTCGCCGAGCTCGGCGGCAGGAGGCAACTGCAGGCCATGCTTGGGGGAATTGGCGACACGGAGGCTGGCCATGTTAGGCAAGTCGCCACCCTGCCAGCGCGCTGGGTGGCCTAGGCTTGCTCTCCATTGAGGCGATAGCTTCGCTTTCGCTTTCGCCCGTTCGAGTCATGGTGAGACACCACGGCAACGGTCCTATAAGGAAGGACATGGGGATGTTGGTGGGACATAAATCAAGATAACAGGATTCACAGCACCATAAAGTCTCTGACAAATTCGCGTTTTTTGACATTTTTGCATGTTGTGCCGTGAAGCACTGTTGCTCGCAGCGCCTGCATGCATGACAGCATGGTGCATCACAGCAGCACACCCACACGCATGACGCACTCATGCCAAACTCAAGCATGCATGCGCGCACATGCATGAGTTGTGCGCGCGACCCACGCGCATGTCCAACAGTACATGGCGGCAGGGTGATAGCCAATAAGCCGGTTGGGCCGGCAGGAATGATGATGAATGGGGGTCGGCATGGGCGGAGGAAGCACCGGAGCGGAGGGCCGGCAGCGCAGACGCTCAGCCTCGCGGTCGTGCTGCACAGGAGGAGGGCGGTGGACAGAAAGGCCCAGGTCGTGCTAGCTCCGCGCGCCAGCAGCCGAGCGGTGGTGCCGCAAACAGAGACCGGCAGCAGGGCCCTGGTCGCGGTCGTGTCGCACCAAGGCAAACAGACGAGCCTGCAGTATCTGTAAAGGGGCACCGGGAGCAGCACGAGGCGTTGGCCAAAGAAGCAGGCCTGTCGCGCCGTGCGCTGGAGAAGCAGTTGGGCATCCAGCGCCCAGGTGGCGGCAGCTCCTTCGGGCCAAGATGGACGCCTGCGCAGAAGACGAGCTCCAAAGCGGTTGCGCCGCAGAGGAGCGTGTCGTGGTCCCCGCCCAAAGCGCCGTCGCGGAGACCCACGGCTGCAGCGGGGATCCCAGAGCCGAAGACTCCACCGGACATGGCAGACTCCTGGCCACACGGCGCTGAGGAATGGGAGACAGTAGCTGTCTTGGAGCGGCAGTGAGGGACCCTTTGCCCGCCGCAGCGGCGTCGGGTTGACTCGCAAGCATGTGCTCCAGTGCCAATCCGCCCTAGAATTTCTCGCCTATGCGCAACCCGACTGGCGAATGCGCAAGTGCCAGCCGACGTCGTTGCACGCATAGCTTTAGCCCGCCTCACTGCCATCAGCGAATCAGATGGTGGCGCTCGCGGCATAGCGACAGGCGACCCTCACCAGGTTGCCCTGCGAGCTCGAGCGGGCACGGACGCGGCCCATGTCCGTGTCGCTTTCGACGAGGACCCAAACCAACTGCTGGTGTCTTTGGATGGGCACAGTGCATATGACAGCATCTACCGCACTCTATTTTTCCGAGCGGCTCCTCGCGGTGCTCGATGACCTGTATGTCCTAACCACGCAAGATCATGCACGTAAGGCTCGCGACACTGTGGTGCAGGCAGTGCAATACGGGTGCGGCATAGCTTCCAATGTTGGTAGAACTCGGGTGTACAGCCACGCCTGAGGTGCCCTCCCACTAGGAATCATTGAGCTGGGCACTGACGTGTGGAGTCGTGCGGCGGGGAAACAAGCTATCCTGCGAGCAAGGCCCAGTAGTCTTGGGCGCACCCATCGGCCACCCCCATGGGCGGAAAGTCGGATGCGCGCTGAGCAGGGGCTTGGACCTACTGTGTGCGTGGCTTCTCCTCATTGTGACCATCGCCACGGGCGAACCACGCGTTGCGCACGGTGCCCCCGCTTGACACAGCAGGCTTTGCCCAGGCCCATGACGCCTTGTGGGGCACGATATGGCACGATGCAGGCCTGCCTCGGCGGAGTCGAATTAAGAAAGTGGAGGGCGCACGGGTCTCCCAGCATCGCAATGCGGTCTGGGCCTTACGAGCGCAGTCCGTACCTCGCCCGCTGCGTGCTGGGCGGCATGGGCTGACGCAATCCTTCAATCCTTCTTCATTGGCGAGAACGCGGCAGAGGCACGCGTCCGCCAACAAGAAACACAGGTAACAGATGCGGCGTGCCTTCGTAGCACAGCGGTGGCACGTCGAGTCGCGGATGGCGCCCGCCCAACAAGGGTGACTGACGACTGGCCGCATGGCTGGCAGCGCAGTGCGTCGCGCGCGTGCAACTTACGCTTCCGCGAACGCACGTCGCTACCAGGCATATAGAGCTCAGCTCGGGAGGTCCGCAGCGGCTCATCGTGCTCGGCTTCGAGATAGGTCGGCTCTGCAATGGAGCAGTGCAGCAGCTCGTCAAAGACGTGGTGCGCATCCGAGCCCAACGGGCCCCGCCGGCAGTGCGAGCAGCAACCGCGTCCGCCTGGACGAGACGGCGGTGGGCAGGCGCCCGAGCTGATGCACACGCCGGCGCACCCTGCGCCTGCCATTGTTGGGCCTCGGGCAGTGCGGGGGCAACGGCGTGCCAGGCGGTCGTACGCAAAGGGGATCATTTCGGCGCACGCGCACGAGCCTCTTCGCACCACGCGGCTTTGTGCTGGAACGGAACAAGCCTGGCAAGCCTGGGTGCAGGAAGTGCGCAAAGCTGTCGGACAGCAGGCTGAGTCGTTCCGCAGCACTGGCCTGTCGATACCACAAAAGTTGGGGTGTCCTATGGCCCGACTCTGGCTAGCGCAGTGGCAGTCGGCTCGGCTGAAGCAGAACAAGCACACAGTCTAGCTCCGGGGCAACGGGCTTGTGAGCAGCCTGCTGCACCGCCCCCCCAGGCTTCTCTGAACACACCGCCAGGGGGAGATGCAATCGTCGAAGCAGCAACACCCAGAATTGCGATGGTGATAACCGCAAACACACGGCCTGAATGCGGCCTCGCCTGGGAGAGCAAAGCAGCACGGCAAAGCGAGATGCTGATGAAAAGCCAGCGTAATGCGTTTCGAGCGCTCGTGCGGCTCATCACTCACAAGCTCGGGTGGCTGGGGACTGCTACCGCTTGTTGCACACGATGTGCATTTGGTGGCGGCACGAGGGGGTCACCTTGTTCCCGCTTTGAACGATGCGGTGCAGTTCCGGCAAAAATGTCCTTCTGCGTGGCTTGCAAATATCGAGCCGGACGCACTTCAACAGTTTGCGGTCGCGTACGGGTTTTGGATCCCGGAGTCAGTCAATGTTGCATCATAGGCGACAATTCTGACGATGCACCACCACAAAGTGCAGACTGCGATATCGAAACAGAGATTTTCACTGGCCTGCAGGGTCTGAGCAGCCATATTTCTGGCGGGATGGTGGTTCCAGCGAGGCACCGCTCACGGTGGTCAGTCGAATCCCGTTGTTTTTCTGTTTTGTTATAAGTGCTATCGATGGGGTCGTGCACTTTTTTATTGGGAGTGAAAGCGACAAGCACTTGAGCGAGTTTTTGACGTGCGTGTTTCAGGAGTTCTGCATCACCTCTGGTGGACGGAACTCGCTAGCCTTTCGTCTCCCTCGCAACGCAGGCGTAAGCTGCGGAGCAACATGCTGCGTGCCTGCAAGCAAAGATGTGTCGCGCACCAGCGTTCCACAAGAAATAATCTGTAAAAAATGACAAGCCGACAGCTTCAGCGGCAACCTGACAATTGCGAAAAACAAAGGGGTTAGCCGCCCAGAAGTGCTCCATCGCCACAGCCTAAAATGACAAGCACACATCTCGTACACGGGGAACGCATTCATTGGATCTCGTCGGCAATACACGGCCCAACAGTCGGCCCAGCATCAATGACGAGGTGTATGCCATCATTATGCATGCTGACGCATGCTGATGCCACAGCTACTTGAAAGCGAGCGTTCTTCACTCAGCACAGCTGTTCGTGGTGGGACGATTTTTGAAACGGCTGCAGCACTGAGATCGGAACAGGAGCTAGAATAGTTGACAAATACGCTGGGGAAGATGTTCAAGTGCGCACCTGATGTGGAGTACATGCATGCAAACCTCGTCTTGGGGATCCGAACACAATCAGTCCCAGCACCGATTCAAAGCTCGCGACATAGTGGCCCTCGGCGAGAATGTGCGTGACAACTACAGCCGGACTACAGCCGGCATGTAGAGGAAGACCGATGGCACAGTCGGCCCATGACTCTTGTCAAGCGGCTGACACTGATGGTGTGTATTTGCAAGCCCTACTCAGATGTCGTCCGAAGCTCCGCAGCAACTCTGGGCCGGGCTCCCTCGCAGTAGCGGCGCAGCAAGCGTACAGGCAACGTGCGGCCTCCGAGAACGCCCCTGGAGCCGAGCGCTGAGGGTTCGCATAGGCTCAATCTTGCTAGAATCTGTTCAAGAAAGGGGGGAGAAAGTGCTTGCGACTGGAAGTCCTTGTTCGATGCGAAAAACACCCATTTCTCACTGCAAGCTCCGACCTCATGTCCATTTGTTGTCCCGCAGAATGGCACCGTCAGCTTAAATTCATCTGCACCTGCGCTGCGTTCCCTCCCCGTGCAGTAGTCGCCGGCTCCTTCGGATGGGGCGACCGGCTGCGGCGGTTTGAAATATGCGGGAACGGCAGGGTACTGTCGTGGGCCTTTCGGCTGCGACTGGGGTCAGCCAAAGACCGGCAAACCAAGCGCCGGTGGAGCACGATTTCCACTTCTACATGGATCTGAGGACCGCCACACGTACCGGAGGAAGAGCATGGAGTAGCTGACATCTCTGCTGAGCATGCAAGGAGCCAACAGCGGAGCACACCTGCGTTTTGCCACGGCAAGCAGCGGCAGCGGTAAATCGATCGAAGACACGGGAAGCTACCAAAGCTGCCAGCCCTCGAGTTTACCAACATAAGCTCCGATCAGGCAGAAGCTATGCTGTGCTTTTCTACCATGCCATGTAGAAAGATCCTGACTTCATCCCTTGCGCTTCGTAGATGCTCATGATTCATGACTGACTGCCAGCTGTCCGCAAGGCGTTTTGCCAGCTGCCGGTGGTGACACAATAGCACAGGTCTCGGGTTCGTGCCTCACGACAGAGGGCTTTCATCAGCTCCGTCGTATGTCCTGGGGCATAGATATTCTGGCATGACAGCAGTCCATTGCCGACAACACAAAAACTCGGCAGCCTCTCTTGCATAACCAAGATTCAGATAGAAAAGATCGGCCGGCAAATTGCGACCTGGACTGCAATCAAGAGCGAGCTGAGCCGAAATCCCACCGTTGCAGCACGTGCCCCATCACGGAGCCCTCTAGAAATCAACGGCCAAAGCCGCTTGCTCCGCAAGAAAGCATCAACAAAAGGTTACACACCTGCCCGGATCATGCGCTCACCACCCACGGCTTTCAGGAAATTCTGCCGGCATTCAATCAAGCTCGGAAGTGCAGCTGTCGTGGTTTGCTTAGCAGTTTAAGCACCACTGAGACTCCAACGTGTGGCAAACTCCGTCCAGGATGACAGCCAGGAGCGACAGTGCCAAACAAGCGAGATCATCCCTTGCTCGCCGTGCTGCTCCTGACGACAGCCACACTGTTCCACCTTTTCCCCTCCTCCCCAAGTCCTAAAACCCTACGGTAGAGTATAGTATGGTACGGTATACTACAGTATAGTATTGTAGTTGCAACACCCTAAAGGCCCAAAAAACCGGACGAGCCGCCTCAACCTCGGTGGAGTCTCGACGCGTGAAGGCCAGAGAGCCCAGAGAGAGGCTGGTGTCCTCTCGTGGCCGGTTGCGGTTGTGCTCGCTGCTTCGTTTCTTCAATAACCGCGTTCCATGGGATAGTATGTATGTATGTATATATTTATA